AATCACTACCTGTATATATAGGAATCACTACCTGTATATGTAGGAATCACTACCTGTATATATAGGAATCACTACCTGTATATGTAGGAAGCACTACCTGTATATATAGGAATCACTACCTGTATATATAGGAATCACTACATGTATGTATAGGAATCACTACCTGCATATATAGGAATTACTACCTGTATAAGACGGAATCTCTATCTTTATATAAAGAAATCACTAGATATGTAGACTCACACACATATATATAAATCAATATCTATATATTACATGTGTTTACTTAACCGCTTACTTACACTGTCAACCTAAAACAGTTTTACCTTTTATTCATTTGAGAGTTTAGCTAGAATTCCGGATTTTTTCACATAAATATGTGACACAATAATATCAAATGAATTTTTAAATACTTACTTAAATTGTTTTCTACCCTGATGAAAACGTTCCCAATTTGAGTTGAAGATTTCCAACAACATTTAAATATTTTATATTATTAGCTAAATAACTGACTTGCCGCTTACACCCTCAGGCACAATTGATATTTGTTTTTAGAGTTTGATCTGCATCAGATGGTTGTTTTTAGATCCTTACCTGTGTGAGTTTCTGTCAGTGATTCGCTGTTTCCTTGTCGTCCACAATAACGAAATGTCCACTCCATCAATGTAAATCCCTATAAGTAGCCCGACAATACACGATTGACTTGAATTTTTACAGTATATATTACTATCTACCTGTGGTGAAATCTCTCGTTATTGTTCCCTGTCATCCCCCTAGGATAAGATCTACACTTCTTTCATTAACTGTGTCGGACTGAGCACACCGTTAAATCTGACTCTTAGAGTGGACACGTTGTAGGATTTGTCATACAGTTCGATCACACGAGATGTATGATATATCATATAATTTGATCATTGGATACAAACACATCTGGACAACATGTGCCTTCGTTTTACAGAAGTCTTAATCTTCTTTGGCCGAAAACGAATATAAGAATCTAAATAGAAAAAGTGTCGTATTCACAATAAAGTAAGATAAGGACTAGCTCACTTTGATTTGAGGACAACGCCTGTTTATCAACAGGAAGGGGAAAGGATAATATTGAGAGTACATCCGACTCTAGAAGCTGTATCATCTATTGTGTCATCCGACAGGACAGACAATATCTAATTTTGTGTCATTCGACAGGACAGACAGGATTATTCTTTATGTTACCTGACAGAACAGACATTTTATTTGTCTCCGACAAGACAGACGGGATTATCCTCTGTGTCACAGACAGGACAGATCTGATTATCCTCTGTGTTACCCGACAAGAAAGACAGTATTTTGTCTTTTATATTACCGAAAAGGCAGTCATGAATGATCTGCCCTGACCCCTTAGACCCTTTCTCTCTCAATCCTTACCTCTGTCTACCCCTTTCTAAATCGACCCTTTTGCCTGTCGACTCTTTTTTAGTTTATCCCTTTCCCTATTCAACTATCAACTATATATCTCGAACCCTTTCTCTATCGACCTTTATATTTCGATCTCTTTGTCTATCGTCTTTTATATCTCGAACCCTTTCTCTATCAACCTTTATATTTCGATCTCTTTATCTATCGTCCTTTATATCTCGATCCCTTTCTCTGTCGATCTTTATATCTCGATCCCTTTCTCTATCGACAATTATATCTCGATCCCTTTCTCTATCGATCTTTATATATGTCGATCCCTTACTCTTTCGTCCTTTATATATCGATCTCTTACTCTATCGTCCTTATATCTCGATCCCTTTCTATATTGACCTTTATATGTCGATCCCTTTGTCTATCGATCTTTATATCTCGATCCCTTTCTCTATCGACCTTTACATCTGTCGACCCCTTTCTAAACTGAAAGTGTTCCCAGCTGCCCTTTTTGCATATAATCTAATTGTGCTTAGAAGACTGTATGCTTGTGCTGCCATGCCGAAGGTCAAGGTAATCAATTTCCTTTTTTTTCTAATTTTCAGTCTGATATCAACTTTTCATAATTTTCCTTCCCCTAAGATATTTTTTCTGTATTTACTCTTCAGTTTTCTCTCTCACCATCTTTGTGATTTTACCCTGTCGCCTTTTTCGTTATTTTCATCCGTTGTCATTAGGGAATGTTGTCATGCGAAGTACCTTCAGCTGCATTTTCCATTACAACCTATCCTTGTTTCGTGGATCCGCGTAAACTCTTCATTTACTGCTTGACACCACGATAACTTTTCATCTGTTGCTGACTGACTCCACGGAACCTCTCCATCTATTGCTCATTGACTCCACGGAACCTCTCCATCTATCGCTGCTTGACTCCACGGAACCTCTCCATCTATCGCTACTTGACTCCGCGGAACCTCTCCATCTGTTGCTGCTTGACTCCACGGAACCTCTCCATCTATCGCTGCTTGACTCCACGGAACCTCTCCATCTATCGCTGCTTGACTCCACGGAACCTCTCCGTCTGTTGCTGCTTGACTCCACGGAACCTCTCCGTCTGTTGCTGCTTGACTCCACGGAACGTCTCCATCTGTTGCTGCTTGACTCCACGGAACCTCTCCATCTGTTACTGCTCGACTCTGCGGAATCTCTTCATCTGTTACTGCTCGACTCAACGGAATCTCTCAGTCTATTGCTGACTGAATCCACGGAACCTCTCCATCTATTGCTCATTGACTCCACGGAACCTCTCCATCTATCGCTGCTTGACTCCACGGAACCTCTCCATCTATTGCTCATTGACTCCACGGAACCTCTCCATCTATCGCTGCTTGACTCCACGGAACCTCTCCATCTATCGCTGCTTGACTCCACGGAACCTCTCCATCTGTTGCTGCTTGACTCCACGGGACCTCTCCATCTATCGCTGCTTGACTCTACGGAACCTCTCCGTCTGTTGCTGCTTGACTCCACGGAACCTCTCCATCTGTTGCTGCTTGACTCCACGGAACCTCTCCGTCTGTTGCTGCTTGACTCCACGGAACCTCTCCATCTGTTGCTGCTTGACTCCGCGGAACCTCTCCGTCTGTTGCTGCTTGACTCCACGGAACCTCTCCATCTGTTGCTGACTGACTCCACTGAAACGGTACTGCGGATGCTGAAACTATGTAAATTCTGATAAGTATCAGCCTGGATTTTTATCGAAGACGATGACGATTGATATGGACTTACGTGAACTGAGATATCGTTATATATATAGATAGATAGATATATCTTTAACCTAATATGATCTACTCAGCTCAGTTATAGGACGTATGGTTGTTTTGTATTTGACGTTTGACGTGTTATATACATATGTCTGAAGTTAGGTGTCTTAAATCAGAATTGCACTGTAGTTGAGAAGTTGATGTTGGTTTCGAAAAATAACCGTACACTCAGCGTAGTACTTCAGCAGGGTTGAATGTCCAGTGCAGTGGGACGGTAAAGCTAGCCTACCCCGATCTACGAGGTAAATTTATTGTAGGTTATTACATTCAGGTACTTCACGTCAAGTCTATATTTATTGTACAAACACGAAATGGACATTTCATATCCACTAGTTTATCGAGCAAACGGCAATTGACAAAAAAAACCTGAAGTATAGTTATAACATGGTCCTAGAAACAACAAATCCTCTTCGAGTTTATTTATTTATTGTGGACATAAAATGAAAACTGGGACGTTTGTATTATTACGTGTCCTACAGCCAGGTTAGTAATATTACCGTCCAGGTACGACCCCGCGAACGTGATCAAAATCCCCGTTACGTGTAATAAAATTTATTGCGTTATTAGCTTGTCAACTGCCTTCTTCACAGACTTAGTGTTTTGCATTCTCCCCATGAATCACTCTATATTTATTCATTTATTTTCAAAAAACAATTTCATAAAACAATTTTTATTTACAAAGATATAGTCGCGTTTTGAGTTTTAACAACGGGCTACAATATAGGAGTACAAACGGGAATCGAGGTGGATAAAGGGTCCAGAACCATATTTAATGGGGTAAGGGTATCCATGGGCACTTGCTGTGATAGGATATGGGTACCCTCGGAAGCTTTATTTAATGGAATATAGATACCCTAGGGAACCTGATTTGATGAGATATGGGTACCCTCGGGAACCAGATTTGATGAGATATGGGTACCCTCGGGAACCAGATTTGATGAGATATGGGTACCCTCGGGAACCAGATTTGATGAGATATGGGTACCCTCGGAAGCTTTATTTAATGGGATATGGGTACCTCGGGAAACTGATTTGATGGGATATGGGTACCCTCGGGAACCAGATTTGATGGGATATGGGTACCCTCGGGAACCAGATTTGATGAGATATGGGTACCCTCGGAAGCTTTATTTAATGGGATATGGGTACCTCGGGAAACTGATTTGATGGGATATAGGTACCTCGGGAACCAGATTTGATGAGATATGGGTATCTTCGGGAATCTGATTTGAGGGGATATGGGTACCCGTGGGTATCTGATTTGAGGGGATATGGGTACCTCGGAAATCTGATTTGATGGGATATGGGTTCCTCGGAAGTCTGATTTGATGGAATAGGGTACCTCGGAAATCTGATTTGATGGGATATGGGTACCCTCGGGAACCAGATTTGATGGGATATGGGTACCTCGGGAATTTTTTGGGTAGTGATCTATGCATTGTATTTCCGGTGAGATTTTTGACAGGAACATGTCACGTATTGATGAAACGTGATAGGGTACGGGACTGGACAGGATCTACGAGTGGTGATGTCACGTCGGCAAGACACGTAGATGTGTAATCGGCTCCACTCCTCTTCATTGTCCGTTAGGAGCATTCTCCGATTTGGGCAAGTCAGTTCCAGAATCGTACGAAATAGATTGAGAAAGGCAAATCCGCCTAAGATGTCCCGCTATATGTTTAATTTCACTTCAACGTCACATACTTGCGCACTTGGTACAGGAGACGTGTGTGATTCACCAACTGCGACTGTCATATTCAAATACACCGTATGTTGACATGAGTCATTATGAAGTGGGTTTTTTTACATTGTTAAGACAGATTTGGTACAAAATGTAACCAATTATTTTGTGTATGAATTTATGTATTGAACAGCCGAAATATATAACATATTTAAGATAATAGTTTAACTTAATTTGTGTTTTAAAACGCAGAGAGGGAGTAGGGGTGAAGGAGACATGCCCCTAGACGCTTTCTGTCGGAATAATAAGGATGAATGTTATATGTACATGTATCTACATTAGTAACAGTCCCTATTATGCCCCCAAATCAGTGTGTGTCGTATCATTTTTTTATACTTGTGCTGTTGAGATTTTGTACAGTTTTAATATGTGTATTGTTTCCAGTTAAGTTTATCAATTATCTTTTATATATAATTCCGTATATCTGTCCTTTAGTTTTGGTAGTACCGTTGGTAGGTGACGGGGCGGTTTGGAATGTGAACACTGTGGATTCACATGTAACATTTATCATTCCGTTCTGACCGGCAATCCCACGAGGACCGCATTGCAGATCTGCTTTCAGCGTGTAATATGTGTCAGGTTTTGCAGAAAAAGGTGTATTGAACATTACCTGAAATGTGTTTGAATCTAAAGTCACACATGTATGAACCACTTCACCACATTCCAGGATACCTGCGATAACGTTGTACGTGGAACCAGTATTTCCGAAAAGAACAACACCTGTGATGTATACAGCTTCAGAGACCTTGAACTGTAATGTATCAGGTGTTGTATACGACCATTCACCACATATATTGCTCTCGTTGAACCTATAACATACCCTTTGTGGGTACGTCCGCTTTTTAGATGAAAATCCTGTCTTTGAGAAATCGTTGGTTATGTGTCCTTTCAATAATTGATTTTGTTCTTCTGCTGTAAGAAGTTTAGCGTGATTCTCGACGATATTTACGAACATTTTAGGATTCATAAGTGGAAACCTTACCAAGTAGAGAAGATCTCCCATTGAAAGAGACCAGCATCTTTGTTATGTTGAAAGAGACCACGACCTTTGTTATATTGAAAGAGACCAGCATCTTTGTTATGCTGAAAGAGACCAGCATCTTTGTTATGTTGAAAGAGACCACGACCTTTGTTATATTGAAAGAGACCACGGACCAGCATGTTATGTTGAAAGAGACTTTGTTATGTTGAAAGAGACCATATTGAAAGAGACCTTATGTTGAAAGAGACCAGCATCTTTGTTATGTTGAAAGAGACCAACATCTTTGTTATGTTGAAAGAGACCAGCATCTTTGTTATGTTGAAAGAGACCAGGACCTTGGTTATATTGAAAGAGACCAGCATCTTTGTTATATTGAAAGAGACCAGCATCTTTGTTATGTTGAAAGAGACCACGACCTTTGTTATATTGAAAGAGACCAGCATCTTTGTTATATTGAAAGAGACCAGCATCTTTGTTATGTTGAAAGAGACCACGACCTTTGTTATGCTGACAGAGACCAGCATCTTTGTTATATTGAAAGAGACCAGCATCTTTGTTATGTTGAAAGAGACCACGACCTTTGTTATGCTGAAAGAGACCACGACCTTTGTTATGCTGAAAGAGACCACGACCTTTGTTATGTTGAAAGAGACCAGGACCTTTGTTATATTGAAAGAGACCAGCATCTTTGTTATATTGAAAGAGACCAGCATCTTTGTTATGTTGAAAGAGACCAGGACCTTGGTTATATTGAAAGAGACCAGCATCTTTGTTATGTTGAAAGAGACCACGACCTTTGTTATATTGAAAGAGACCAGCATCTTTGTTATGTTGAAAGAGACCACGACCTGAAAGAGACCAGCATCTTTGTTATGTTGAAAGAGACCAGCATCCAGCATCTTTGTTATGTTGAAAGAGACCACGACCTTTGTTATATTGAAAGAGACCAGCATCTTTGTTATGCTGAAAGAGACCAGCATCTTTGTTATGTTGAAAGAGACCAGCATCTTTGTTATGTTGAAAGAGACCACGACCTTTGTTATGCTGAAAGAGACCAGGACCTTTGTTATATTGAAAGAGACCAGCATCTTTGTTATATTGAAAGAGACCAGCATCTTTGTTATGTTGAAAGAGACCACGACCTTTGTTATATTGAAAGAGACCAGCATCTTTGTTATGTTGAAAGAGACCACACATCTTTGTAATGTTGAAAGAGACCAACATCTTTGTAATGTTGAAAGAGACCAGCATCTTTGTTATGTTGAAAGAGACCCAACACCTTTGTAATGTTGAAAGAGACCAGCACCTTTGTTATGTTGAAAGAGACCCAACACCTTTGTAATGTTGAAAGAGACCAGCACCTTTGTATGTTGAAAGAGACCACGACCTTTGTTATATTGAAAGAGACCAGCATCTTTGTTATGCTGAAAGAGACCAGCATCTTTGTTATGTTGAAAGAGACCACGACCTTTGTTATGTTGAAAGTTATATTGAAAGAGACCAGCATCTTTGTTATGTTGAAAGAGACCACGACCTTTGTTATATTGAAAGAGACCAGCATCTTTGTTATGTTGAAAGAGACCACGACCTTTGTTATGTTGAAAGAGACCACGACCTTTGTTATGTTGAAAGAGACCAGGACCTTTGTTATATTGAAAGAGACCAGCATCTTTGTTATGTTGAAAGAGACCAACATCTTTGTAATGTTGAAAGAGACCAGCATCTTTGTTATGTTGAAAGAGACCCAACACCTTTGTAATGTTGAAAGAGACCAGCACCTTTGTTATGTTGAAAGAGACCAGCATCTTTGTTATGTTGAAAGAGACCACGACCTTTGTTATATTGAAAGAGACCAGCATCTTTGTTATGTTGAAAGAGACCAACATCTTTGTTATGTTGAAAGAGACCAGCATCTTTGTTATATTGAAAGAGACCAGCATCTTTGTTATGTTGAAAGAGACCACGACCTTTGTTATGCTGAAAGAGACCAGCATCTTTGTTATGTTGAAAGAGACCAACATCTTTGTTATGTTGAAAGAGACCACGACCTTTGTTATGCTGAAAGAGACCACGACCTTTGTTATATTGAAAGAGACCAGCATCTTTGTTATGTTGAAAGAGACCAGCATCTTTGTTATGTTGAAAGAGACCAGGACCTTTGTTATGTTGAAAGAGACCAGCATCTTTGTTATGTTGAAAGAGACCAGGACCTTTGTTATATTGAAAGAGACCAGCATCTTTATTATGTTGAAAGAGACCAGCATCTTTGTTATGTTGAAAGAGACCAGCATCTTTGTTATGTTGAAAGAGACCATGTTGAAAGAGACCACCTTTGTTATATTGAAAGAGACCAGCATCTTTGTTATATTGAAAGAGACCAGCATCTTTGTTATGTTGAAAGAGACCAGTTATATTGAAAGAGACCTTTGTTATGTTGAAAGAGACCCAACACCTTTGTAATGTTGAAAGAGACCAGCACCTTTGTATGTTGAAAGAGACCAACATCTTTGTTATGTTGAAGGAGACCCAGCACCTTTGTAATGTTGAAAGAGATCAGCACTTCTGTTATGTTGAAAGAGACCAGCATCTTTGTTATGTTGAAAGAGACCAGCATCTTTGTTATGCTGAAAGAGACCAGCATCTTTGTTATGTTGAAAGAGACCACGACCTTTGTTATATTGAAAGAGACCAGCATCTTTGTTATGTTGAAAGAGACCACGACCTTTGTTATATTGAAAGAGACCAGCATCTTTGTTATGTTGAAAGAGACCACGACCTTTGTTATATTGAAAGAGACCAGGACCTTGGTTATATTGAAAGAGACCAGCATCTTTGTTATATTGAAAGAGACCAGCATCTTTTAACAGTACCTACAAGGTCCTCTACCACGGTTATAACAGTACCTACAAGCGCCTCTACCACGGCTATAATAGTACCTACAAGCGCCTCTACCACGGCTATTACAGTACCTACAAGCACCTCTACCACGGCTATAACAGTACCTACAAGCGCCTATACCACGGTTATAACAGTATCTACAAGGTCCTCTACCACGGTTATAACAGTACCTACAAGCGCCTCTACCACGGTTATAATAGTACCTACAAGCGCTATATAATAGTACCTACAAGCGCCTCTACCACGGCTATTACAGTACCTACAAGCACCTCTACCACGGCTATAACAGTACCTACAAGCGCCTATACCACGGTTATAACAGTATCTACAAGGTCCTCTACCACGGTTATAACAGTACCAACAATCGCCTCTACCACGGCTGTAATAGTACCTACAAGCGCCTCTACCAAGGCTATTACAGTACCTACAAGCACCTCTACCACGGTTATAACAGTGCCTCTCGGAATCTCGATTTTTGTATTGTAGAGGCATATCCGTCTCTATAAACTTTGCGTGAAATACCAAATATATAATATTATAAATGACTTACTTTGTTGTTGTTTTTACGTTAACAAATGGTGGCGTTTTCTCCAATGTTGACAGAGGAGCATGGATGCTATTTAACATTAAGTGACAGTCAGACTACAGTTGACCTTCGTGACGCCTACATGACACTGATTATAAACATCACGCTAGAAAATCTGGCGCACGAGGTCTTTCTGTGAAGAGGAGATGATTATTATTCTGAGAATTTCAACGAGGTTTCATTTTCACTTCTGAAATTAAGAATGGGGCCAACATTTGATAACAACAATAAATATATAAGTAATAAGTAACTTATTACACCTTAACTAACCACAACTGGACACTTTTGTGTGAAATCAATTACCCGTATACATTTCACCTCAGGTGATATTGTAGATTAAAAAGATTTATAAATAAACAACTTGAGAAGGAAATGACCTGTGTCTGTCTGTATCAGAGTCCGTTACACAACACTATAACTCCGTGCATCTCTCTATATAAGAACAATTAATTAAGAAATACTTACTTGATTTATTCTTACCTGATCTTTTGTCACCTGATGACGTGTACTTTCGTTTTGATACAGGTATTTCCAGGGACGTATAATACGTCCTTGGTATTTCCAAACTAAATGGATTGATAATGACACATGTTACTAATAATAGAAAAAAACTTATACACATTGATACGCATTAACCAGCGGTACTCTTTGTAGGAGCGTGCATTCTGTCCTCGTGTTACTATATATAGTAAATTTACAACCTATATAGGATAGTTGATATACAATGACAATGTTATAAGATATAATTACAACTGTATATTTATATACAGTCAAACTTCGATAATTCGATATTCAAGGGACCGTCATAAAAATATCGATACATCGGGACTTCGATACAAAAATAGTTCAGTCAAATAGCTGGTCCAAGTAATAGGGTTCCATATTTAAAATTTTTTTTCATTATGTTTTAGACAAAAGATAACAATTATGTGTGTATTAATGATTTAAATAAAGACTCAACAATCAAAAACAGTTAAATTGAATTTTATTACGACCAAACAACAATAAATAACATGAAACATTCGAAGTACATGGCAATGAAGTATCACACGTAAATGACGAAATGGGTAAATGTATTTTACGGAACAGAAAAATCACATGTCACGAAAAGCACGAAATTGGCACTGTCAGTTATTTAGTACTCTTAAACACTATCACCATTAGCACTAAAACACAAATAACACATTAATCAGTCACACTTAGAAACAGTTCCAAAGAACTCACTCAGGGTACACTGTTTTCTCTCGAGGAGGAAATACTGTTGGATGGAATAACTGACGTCGGCAATCTGTGAGGCGGCTGAGTCTGTATTATTCCCGATGCCCGTCTGCTGGAGAAAATCTCGGACTGTATCTAGGGCGTTCATGGCGTCATGGATGGTTTGCTTGGTCGTTGGCAAGGAATCGTCGTCATTGTCGTCATCGTCATCTTCAGCTTTCGGTTGGCGTTGGGACACGATGCTTTCTAAGATGTCGCTGTCGGTCATCTCGGCACAGGTAAGGGCTTGGTCATCAACACGTGCGTAGTCGGTAAAAGATACACCAGTGGACAGCTTTCTCAAGACAGCTAGTACTGTTCAAACTAATTATTGGTCATTGACTAATTGTATACAAGAGGTGGTAAAATGCCATTGTCCTGATCGACCGTAACGGTAAACAAAAGATTAACGCTGGAGGGTCTCGCTACAGGTGTGAATTTGTTTCGGTCGACTGACCATCGAGCACAGTGACCACAGGTAAATTTTGATCGATTTATTCATGGTGATTTTGAACCAATTTATATGACTTGTACAGTAGAAAATTATCGAAACACCGAGAATATCGAAACATAAATGATCGATTCATGAGTAGTGAGTTAAGTAGAAATATATAAGGAAAATAGTAGGGACCAAGTAAAAATATCGACACAGCGAGAATATCGAATCATCGAAGATCGATTCATCGAAGTTTGACTGTATGTATATATCAACAATTAATCGGGCTGTATTAGTTTGGCCACTTCCGCTTCCACACGTACAGATCCGTTAGTGCTCGTTTACATATCCTAAAAAGCGGTGGACTCATCTTGATTAAACATAGTATAAACGGTAATTATGGGCGCTGCGATGGAGGAGGGACTGTAAGGCCCTCGCACCCTCTAATGCATGCATTGTCGCTAAGTACGTTGAAACACACAACCGTATAAAAATGTTGAAAACGGAGACAATTGCGAAACAGGTCACGAAAATGTGTTCCACTTTAAGTAATGAAGGCTCCTTGTGGAGTATCTGCAGCCTCTCTGTATTACACACAAGGACAAATACATTCACGATATTTCTCATTGTATGATTTCAGATCATTCAAGTTACATGTCATTTTCTTATTCTCATGAAATTTGTCATATGTTTTTCGTGGCATGAAATTCCCAGTACATCGTAAAAATATCAGCATTACATGGCTTAAAATAATAGCCTTCATCAAAATATCATGATACTTCTAAGTGTTTCCGTGGTGTAAATTTAATAAAGCATATCTATCAATGACTTTAAATGGTTTCACTCACGTAGACCACTAATGTAAAGGTTTGTGGACGGGAAACGTCTGGTCCAACGACATCTGCAAAACCAACGCCTACTTGGCCGCGAAGGATCCCTTGAAATTTGCTGTACTACTACTGAAGAGAGACATATGAAACTTTTTGTGTATGAGCTTGTATTTTCACAAACAAAAATGTCAATGATTTTTAGTAGTTAGATCTCCGAGTCCTGTACTCAAGGTTTTGAGAACTCCATAACTGTTCTATATCTTAGTAACGTTAATGGGAGTCATCAAAATTTTGGAAATTAGATCAGTGAACCTGATTTGATGAAATATAGGTACACTCGGGAACCTGATGTGATGGGATATGGGTACCTCGGGAACCTGATGTGATGGGATATGGGTACCTTAAGGAACCTTATTTGATGGGTTATGGGTACCTAGGGAACCTGATTTAATGAGATATGCGAACCTCGGGAACCTGATTTGATGGGATATGGGTACCCGCGGGAATCTGATTTGAGGGGTTATGGGTACCCTCGGGAACCCGATTTGATAGGTTATGGGTACCCTCGGGAATCTGATTGGATGGAATATGGGTACCCTCGGAAACCTGATTTGAGGGAATATGGTTACCTCGGGGTCTGATTTGAGGAGATATTGGTACCTTCGGGAACCTGATGTGATGGGATATGGGTAAATCGGGAATCTGATTTGATGGGATATGGGTACCCGCGGGAATCTGATTGGATGGGATATGGGTACCTCGGGAAACTGATTTGATGGGCTATGGGTACCTCGGGAACCTGATTTGATGGGATATGGGTACGTCGTGAACCTGATTTGAGGGGTTATGGGTACCCTCGGGAACCCGATTTGATGGGTTATGGGTACCCTCGGGAATCTGATTGGATGGAAAATGGGTACCCTCGGAAACCTGATTTGAGGGAATATGGTTACCTCGTGGTCTGATTTAAGGAGATATTGGTACCTTCGGGAACCTGATGTGATGGGATATGGGTAAATCGGGAATCTGATTTGATGGGATATGGGTACCCGCGGGAATCTGATTGGATGGGATATGGGTACCTCGGGAACCTGATTTGATGGGATATGGGTACCTCGGGAACCTGATTTGATGGGATATGGGTACCCTCGGGAACCTGATTTGATGGGATATGGGTACCTCGGGAACCTGATTTGATGGGATATGAGTACCCTCGGGAACCTGATTTGATGGGATATGGGTACCTCGGGAACCTGATTTGATGGGCTATGGGCACCTCGGGAACCTGATTTGATGGGATATGGGTACGTCGGGAACCTGATTTGAGGGGTTATGGGTACCCTCGGGAACCCGATTTGATGGGTTATGGGTACCCTCGGGAATCTGATTGGATGGAATATGGGTACCCTCGGGAACCAGATTTGATGAGATATGGGTACCCTCGGAAGCTATATTTAATGGGATATGGGTACCTCGGGAACCTGATTTGATGGGATATGGGTACCTCGGGAACCTGATTTGATGGGATATGGAAAACTCTGCCTTCGTTACGCTTCAGTGGTCAGTGATTTATTTCTTTACTAGTTGAACCGTAACAGCGCATACTAAGAGACATTCAAAAGTTATAGCGTTTTTGGGTAGTGATCTATGCATTGTATTTCCGGTGAGGTTTTTGACAAGAACATGTCACGTATTGATGAAACGTGATAGGGTACGGGACTGGACAGGATCTACGAGTGGTGATGTCACGTCGGCAAGACACGTAGATGTGTAATCGGCTCCACTCCTCTTCATTGTCTGTTAGGAGCATTCTACGATTTGGGCAAGTCAGTTCCAGAATCGTACGGAACAGATTGAGAAAGGCAAATCCGCCTAAGATGTCCCGCTATATGTTTAATTTCACTTCAACGTCACATACTTGCGCACTTAGTACAGGAGACGTGTGTGATTCACCAACTGTGACTGTCGTTTTCAGATACACCGTATGTTGACATGAGTCATTATGAAGTGGGTTTTTTTTACATTGTTAAGACAGATTTGGTACAAAATGTAACAAATTATCTTGCGTATGAATTTATGTATTGAACAGCCGAAATATATAACATATTTAAGATAATAGTTTAACTTAATTTGTGTTTTAAAACGCAGAGAGGGAGTAGGGGTGAAGGAGACATGCCCCTAGACGCTTTCTGTCGGAATAATAAGGATTAATGTTACATGTACATGTATCTACATTAGTAACAGTCCCTACTATGCCCCCAAATCAGTGTGTGTCGTATCATTTTTTTTATACTTGTGCTGTTGAGATTTTGTACAGTTTTAATATGTGTATTGTTTCCAGTTAAGTGTATCAATTATCTTTTCTCGAATATAATACCGTATATCTGTCCTTTAGTGTTGTCAGTACCGTTGGTAGGTGTCGGGGCGGTTTGGAATGTGAACACTGTGGATTTACATGTAACATTTATCATTCCGTTCCGACCGGCAATCCCACGAGGACCGCATTGCAGATCTGCTTTCAGCGTGTAATATGTGTCAGGTTTTGCAGAAAAAGGTGTATTGAACATTACCTGAAATGTGTTTGAATCTAAAGTCACACGTGTATGAACCACTTCACCACATTCCAGGATACCTGCGATAACGTTGTACGTGGAACCAGTATTTCCGAAAAGAACAACACCTGTGATGTATACAGCTTCAGAAACCTTGAACTGTAATGTATCAGGTGCGTTATACGACCATCTACCACACATATTGCTCTCCCTGAACCTATAACATACCCTTTGTGGGTACTTCCGCTTTTTAGATGAAAATCCTGTCTTTGAGAAATCGTTGGTTATGTGTCCTTTCAATAATTGATTTTGTTCTTCTGCTGTAAGAAGTTTAGCGTGATTCTCAACGATATTTACGCACATTTTAGGATTCATAAGTGGAAACCTTACTAAGTAGAGAAGATCTCCCAGGACCTGTCGTCTATTGGAGTCGTTCACTTCTAGACCCTTCTCTGTACATCGATAGTCTGACCAAGAGAGAACAGCAGCGAAGATGTCCTCTTCATTGGCCCCGAGTTTGTCAGATCGGAGAACATCACCCAGACATTCTCGCCCTAGGTCTGTGAGAAGCTTATCTTTTATGACGTCTATACTGTGGTTTTCTATAAAGTCTAGACTGTTCTGACGTAATTTGCTGTCGTCAAACAAATAAGCGTGCTCCATTACAGTACACACGTTGGATGTTGACATGTTCTTCATCAGGAACTGACCACATTCATTGACCAGACGTCTAACGTTGTATTTATGGGCTGTATACATCAGGGCGGCCACGCTATCTGGCGTCATCACACATTTGTCTGTGTATAAATACCTACAATGAAAGTTTGAAAAAAAAATGTACGTAAATAATTCATAAACGTTGATGACGTCATCAAAATACGAAAGACTTGAGAAGCGGCTGATACAACTGTACAATCAAGTAAACAGTGACTGTACTACAGTAATAAAAAGTGACTCCTGTATGAATCGTTATTGACTCTGGACATTGATATGCCTGGAATATGGTTACCAACATGGATCACTGTCATTTAGTACCAATTTGTGTGATATATATTAAGTCCATGTTTCCGATACTGTTTGTCACAGAGTAGGTATTTCTTATTGTTTGTTCAAGTGTTCTGCTTTTTGGCGTTTGATGTATAACTTCTGAACTTCTGAACGGACAGAAAATACCGCCGGATAACTATATAAAATGTCCTATGTTCGCCATGCATGCATCTGTTTGGTGACATCAATTTGAAACATTGCATTTGACGTCATAATGGCTATGATAAATTCACGTCATTGTCGATACTGTGAAATTATGATAGTTTCTTAACTGTATTTCTTGATTAATATCCTTTTATATCATTCTCCCTCTGGGAATATTTACAAATATATATATATATGGGGGGGGTTGGTTGGCGGGTGTGTGTGTGTGTGTGAGAGAGAGAGAGAGAGAGAGAGAGAGAGAGAGAGAGAGAGAGAGAGACTGACTTACCTAAGGAAACATCTGAAAATGTCACTTTCTACGTCTGGAATTTCAACTGAACAGCCTTTTTCCGCCAGGGGACCGTACAACATTGCCCGAAATACTGAACTCCTACTGGCCAGGACAAACCTGTGTGCGGAAACGATATCAGATCCCGTCTTCCCCAGCTTAAAAGAGATGTCACAGTCAACCTCATTGGTCAACATGTAGTCCATACTTTCCAGTAAAGTCAGACTGTCCTGCCAGTCAGACGCCATAGTGTTACTGTTCCTGTAATAAAAATAATAATCGTCTTTGTTATGTTGAAAGATCCGGACCTTTCTTATGTTGAAAGGAATCAGGACATTTGATTTGTTGAATGAGAGCAGGGTCTTTGATATGTTGAAAGGAATCGGGACATTTAATATGTTGAATGAGATCAGGCCTTCGTTATGTTAAAAGAGACCAGGACCTTTGTTATGCTGAAAGAGACCACGACCTTTGTTATGTTGAAAGAGACCAACATCTTTGTTATGTTGAATGAGACCACGACATTTGCTATGTTGAAAGAGACCAACATCTTTGTTATGTTGAAAGAGACCAGCATCTTTATTATGTTGAAAGAGACCAACATCTTTGTAATGTTGAAAGAGACCAGCATCTTTGTTATGTTGAAAGAGACCACGACCTTTGTTATGCTGAAAGAGACCAGGACTTTTGTCATGTTGAAAGAGACCAGGACCTTTGTTATGTTGAAAGAGACCACGACCTTTGTTATGTTGAAAGAGACCAGGACCTTGGTTATATTGAAAGAGACCAGCATCTTTGTTATATTGAAAGAGACCAGCATCTTTGTTATGTTGAAAGAGACCAGCATCTTTATTATGTTGAAAGAGACCAACATCTTTGTAATGTTGAAAGAGACCAGCATCTTTGTAATGTTGAAAGAGACCGGCATCTTTGTTATGTTGAAAGAGACTCAACACCTTTGTAATGTTGAAAGAGACCAGCATCTTTGTTATGTTGAAAGAGACCAACATCTTTGTATGTTGAAAGAGACCAGCATCTTTGTTATGTTGAAAGAGACCAGCATCTTCATTATGTTGAAAGAGACCAACATATTTGTTATGTTGAAAGAGACCAGCACCTTTGTTATGTTGAAAGAAACAAGCATCTTTGTTATGCTGAAAGAGACCAACATCTTTGTTATGTTGAAAGAGACCAGCATCTTCATTATGTTGAAAGAGACCAACATATTTGTTATGTTGAAAGAGACCAGCACCTTGGTTATGTTGAAAGAAACAAGCATCTTTGTTATGCTGAAAGAGACCAACATCTTTGTTATGTTGAAAGAAACAAGCATCTTTGTTATGCTGAAAGAGACCAACATCTTTGTTATGTTGAAAGAGACCAACACCTTTATTATGTTAAAAGAGACCAACATCTTTGTTATGTTGAAAGAGACCAACACCTTTGTTATGTTGAAAGAGACCAGCATCTTCATTATGTTGAAAGAGACCAACATATTTGTTATGTTGAAAGAGACCAGCACCTTGGTTATGTTGAAAGAAACAAGCATCTTTGTTATGCTGAAAGAGACCAACATCTTTGTTATGTTGAAAGAAACAAGCATCTTTGTTATGCTGAAAGAGACCAACATCTTTGTTATGTTGAAAGAGACCAACACCTTTATTATGTTAAAAGAGACCAACATCTTTGTTATGTTGAAAGAGACCAACACCTTTGTTATGTTGAGAGAGACCAGGTTTGCCGTAACCTGCAGGTCACATTTAAAATCATTCGACTAGTGAAATGGTACAGACTAAACTCATACACTTGACTTTCTTATCGAAGCTTTGAATTATGAAGTTTGAGTACCTCCTTTCACTAGAAATTTACATTTCTATCGATCAATTTCGACTTTCCTCGGTCGCCCCATGTCACGGTCGAGTCCTAGAAGGACGAAACAATTATATGATACAGATTGATTCAATGTTAAGCTCTACTGTACCTTATTCTAAATTTGTATTGAAAGGTACTGTTCACTTGTGTGTCTTCTGTAACGTGTTCATCTAAGTCACAATTGATTACGCCCTGAATGAGTTTATAATAGTTATTGGTCTATATTACTGGTCTCGTTATCACTTTGCTTTTTATTAAAACTTTTCTCAAATTGGCCAGTTCAGGAAATATCAAATTACATGTAACTTATATAAGAAAATTATCATCCCAAGTGTTCTTATCAAGGAATATACAGCATATTGAAGTCCTACAACATACAATGCCGAAAAGAACTAAAAGTTTCCGGAAATTAACACGATCCGATATGTATCAATCCACGTTATATCTTCCTAGATTACTGCCGAAAAAATCGACCTTAGTAAAGCACTATTTCATTCACACTCTAATACATTTAGAGTCCCATGTCAAATCAAAATATTTCTACCAAAGTTATACCAGTACCTACAGGGTCCTCTACCACGGTTATAACAGTACCTACAGGATCCTCTACCACGGCTATTACAGTACCTACAGGCGCCTCTACCACGGCTATAACAGTACTTACAGGCGCCTCTACCACGGCTATAACAGTACCTACAGGCGCCTCTACCACGGCTATAACAGTACTTACAAGCGCCTCTACCACAGTTATAACAGTACCTATAGGGTCCTCTACCATGGTTATAACAGTACCTACAGGGTCCTCTACCATGGTTATACCAGTACCTACAAGCGCCTCTACCACGGCTATTACAGTACCTACAAGGTCCTCTACCACAGTTATAACAGTACCTACAAGAGCCTCTACCACGGCTATAACAGTAACTACAAGCGCCTCTACCACAGCTATTACAGTACCTACATGCTCCTCTACCACAGTTATAACAGTACCTACGAGCGCCGCTACCACGGCTATAATAGTACCTACAAGGTCCCCTACCACGGTTATATCAGTACCTACAAGCACCTCTACCACAGTAATAACAGTACCTACAGGGTCATCTACCACGGCTATTACAGTACCTTCAAGCGCCTCTACCACGGTTATAACAGTAATACAAGCGCCTCTATCACGGCTATCACAGTACCTACAGGGTCATCTACCACGGCTATTACAGTACCTACAAGCGCCTCTACCACGGCTATAACAGTATCTGCAAGGTCCTCTACCACGGCTATAATAGTACCTACAAGCGCCTCTACCACGGCTATTACAGTACCTACAAGGTCCTCTACCACAGTTATATCAGTACCTACAAGCGCCTCTACCACGGTTATAACAGTACCTACAAGGTCCTCTACCACGGTTATAACAGAAATTACAAGGTCCTCTACCGAAGTTATACCAGTACCTACAAGCGCCTCTACAACGGCTATAACAGTACCTACATGGTCCTCTACCACGGTTACAACAGTACCTACGGGGTCCTCTACCACGGTTATAACAGTACGTATAAGCGCCTCTATCACGGCTTTAACAGTACCTACAAGCGCCTCTACCACGGCTATAACAGTACCTACAAGCGCCTCTACCACGGTTATAACAGTACCTACAGGGTCCTCTACCGCGGCTATAACAGTAACTACAACGTCCTCTACCACGGTTATAACAGTACCTACAAGCGCCTCTACCACGGCTATAACAGTACCTACAAGCGCCTCTACTACGGCTATAACAGTACCTACAAGCGCCTCTACCACGGCTATAACAGTACCTACAAGCGCCTCTGCCACAGCGATTACAGTACCTACAAGCGCCTCTACCACAGTTATAACAGTACCTACAAGCGCCTCTACCACGGCTATAATAGTACCTACAAGCGCCTCTACCACGGCTATTACAGTACGTACCAGGTCCTCTACCACAGTTATATCAGTACCTACATGCGCCTCTACCACAGTTATAACAGTACCTACAGGGTCATCTACCACGGCTATTACAGTACCTTCAAGCGCCTCTACCACGGTTATAACAGTACCTACAAGCGCCTCTACCACGGTTATAACAGTACCTACAAGCGCCTCTATCACGGCTATCACAGTACCTACAAGGTACTCTACCACGGTTATAACAGTACCTACAAGCGCCTCTACCACGGCTATAACAGTACCTACAAGCGCCTCTACCACGGTTATATCAGTACCTACAAGCACCTCTACCACAGTTAAAACAGTACCTACAGGGTCATCTACCACGGCTATTACAGTACCTACAAGCGCCTCTACCACGGTTATAACAGTACCTACAAGCGCCTCTACCACGGTTATAACAGTAGCTACATGCGCCTCTACCACGGCTATAATAGTACCTACAAGCGCCTCTACCACGGCTATTACAGTACCTACAAGGTCCTCTACCACAGTTATATCAGTACCTACAAGCGCCTCTACCACAGTTATAACAGTACCTACAAGCGCCTCTACCACGGCTATTACAGTACCTACAAGGTCCTTTACCACGGTTATAACAGTACCTACAAGCGCCTCTACCACAGCTATTACAGTACCTACAAGCACCTCTACCACAGTAATAACAGTACCTACAGGGTAATCTACCACGGCTATAACAGTACCTTCAAGCGCCTCTACCACGGTTATAACAGTAATACAAGTGCCTCTACCACGGCTATTACAGTACCTACAAGGTCCTCTACCACGGTTATATCAGTACCTACAAGCACCTCTACCACAGTTATAACAGTACCTACAGGGTCATCTACCACAGCTATTACAGTACCTACAAGCGCCTCTACCACGGCTATAACAATATCTGCAAGGTCCTCTACCACGGTTATAACAGTAGCTACATGCGCCTCTACCACGGCTATAACAGTACCTACAAGCGCCTCTACCACGGCTATAACAGTACCTACAAGCGCCTCTACCACAGCGATTACAGTACCTACAAGCGCCTCTACCACAGTTATAACAGTACCTACAAGCGCCTGTACCACGGCTATAATAGTACCTACAAGCGCCTCTACCACGGCTATTACAGTACCTTCAAGGTCCTCTACCACGGTTATATCAATACCTACCAGCACCTCTACCACATTTATAACAGTACCTACAGGGTCATCTACCACGGCCATTACAGTACCTACAAGCGCCTCTACCACGGCTATAACAGTACCTACAAGCGCCTATACCACGGTTATAACAGTAGCTACATGCGCCTCTACCACGGCTATAATAGTACCTACAAGCGCCTCTACCACGGCTATTACAGTACCTACAAGGTCCTCTACCACAGTTATATCAGTACCTACAAGCGCCTCTACCACAGTTATAACAGTACCTACAAGCGCCTCTACCACGGCTATTACAGTACCTACAAGGTCCTTTACCACGGTTATAACAGTACCTACAAGCGCCTCTACCACAGCTATTACAGTACCTACAAGCACCTCTACCACAGTAATAACAGTACCTACAGGGTAATCTACCACGGCTATAACAGTACCTTCAAGCGCCTCTACCACGGTTATAACAGTAATACAAGTGCCTCTACCACGGCTATTACAGTACCTACAAGGTCCTCTACCACGGTTATATCAGTACCTACAAGCACCTCTACCACAGTTATAACAGTACCTACAGGGTCATCTACCACAGCTATTACAGTACCTACAAGCGCCTCTACCACGGCTATAACAATATCTGCAAGGTCCTCTACCACGGTTATAACAGTAGCTACATGCGCCTCTACCACGGCTATAACAGTACCTACAAGCGCCTCTACCACGGCTATAACAGTACCTACAAGCGCCTCTACCACAGCGATTACAGTACCTACAAGCGCCTCTACCACAGTTATAACAGTACCTACAAGCGCCTGTACCACGGCTATAATAGTACCTACAAGCGCCTCTACCACGGCTATTACAGTACCTTCAAGGTCCTCTACCACGGTTATATCAATACCTACCAGCACCTCTACCACATTTATAACAGTACCTACAGGGTCATCTACCACGGCCATTACAGTACCTACAAGCGCCTCTACCACGGCTATAACAGTACCTACAAGCGCCTATACCACGGTTATAACAGTATCTACAAGGTCCTCTACCACGGTTATAACAGTACCTACAAGCGCCTCTACCACGGCTATAATAGTACCTACAAGCGCCTCTTCCACGGCTATTACAGTACCTACAAGCACCTCTACCACGGTTATAACAGTGCCTCTCGGAATCTCGATTTTTGTATTGTAGAGGCATATCCGTCTCTATAAACTTTGCGTGAAATACCAAATATATAATATTATAAATGACTTACTTTGTTGTTGTTTTTTTTTTACGTTAACAAATGGTGGCGTTTTCTCCAATGTTGACAGAGGAGCATGGATGCTATTTAACATTAAGTGACAGTCAGACTACAGTTGACCTTCGTGACGCCTACATGACACTGATTATAAACATCACGCTAGAAAATCTGGCGCACGAGGTCTTTCTGTGAAGAGGAGATGATTATTATTCTGAGAATTTCAACGAGGTTTCATTTTCACTTCTGAAATTAAGAATGGGGCCAACATTTGATAACAACAATAAATATATAAGTAATAAGTAACTTATTACACCTTAACTAACCACAACTGGACACTTTTGTGTGAAATCAATTACCCGTATACATTTCACCTCAGGTGATATTGTAGATTAAAAAGATTTATAAATAAACAACTTGAGAAGGAGATGACCTGTGTCTGTCTGTATCAGAGTCCGTTACACAACACTATAACTCCGTGCACCTCTCTATATACGTTGAAACACACAACCGTATAAAAATGTTGAAAACGGAGACAATTGCGAAACAGGTCACGAAAATGTGTTCCACTTTAAGTAATGAAGGCTCCTTGTGGAGTATCTGCAGCCTCTCTGTATTACACACAAGGACAAATACATTCACGATATTTCTCATTGTATGATTTCAGATCATTCAAGTTACGTGTCATTTTCTTATTCTCATGAAATTTGTATGTTTTTCGTGGCATAAAATTCCCAGTACATCGTAAAAATATCAGCATTACATGGCTTAAAATAATAGCTTTCATCAAAATATCATGATACTTCTAAGTGTTTCCGTGGTGTAAATTTCATAAAGCATATCTATCAATGACTTTAGATGGTTTCACTCACTTAGACCTCTAATGTAAAGGTCTGTGGACGGGAATCGTCTGGTTCCAATGACATCTGCAAAACCAACGCCTACTTGGCCGCGAAGGATCCCTTGAAGTTTGCTGTTCTGCTACTGAAGAGAGACATATGAAACTTTTTGTGTATGAGCTTGTATTCAGATCTCCGAGTCCTGTACTCAAGCTTTTGAGAATTCCCTAACTGTTCAATATCTTAGTAACGTTAATGGGAGTCATCGAAATTTTGGAAATTAGATTGTGGACTCCATTGGAAAAAAAAACATAAAAATACTGAATGTAATACAATATCACTTCATCGAACTTAGTAATGCCCAGCATACAGAAAAACAAAAGTAACCACCGAACAAATAACGATAAAAGATAAAAAAAAAAAGTGGGGTGGGGAGGGGGAGAGCACAAGAAAAAGGGCGGTGGTAATATATGCTATTTGCCTATGGGTTAAAGTATACGAAATTATATAGATATATGTAAGCGACCCTATAGGATTACAATATATTGAGATGAATCGCATTTACACGTGTCATTTTACATGTAGACCGACTTACATTACACATGTACACTAAAGCCTACATAATGAGGGCATGTACAACCACACTTTTAATTTAGAGTGACCTCCCCTTAGTTATACCAACAAGAATGGCTTCCAACAGTCGTCAGATGTTTCAGTGTAGTTCAGACGTTGAAAGCGGTCCTGTACTTGTTAATCGACCTATAACGCTATTAGAGCTTCCAGAAGAAATCCTTTATAATATTATTTCATATCTGTCCTACAACGAAATCAGCGAATCTCGTAATGTGAGTATCTACGATGTAGACCGTTTCCTTTTACAGTTTTGTGAATCAGCTGGCACTGTGACAAATATGATATCAGCTGTGTTACAGTGTATATCATTTTTTAAAAATAAGTTTTCTTAATTGTACAGTCACAATAGATACGTTTGTAAATGTTCGTTTATTAGATCTAATTGGGTAACTTTTAGAACTACGTAATTTATGATGTTTCAAGGGATTTGGGACCATCTGTACACTGTAGGACGGTAAGAGTGTAGAAGTTGATCGTTCAGGTCATCTTACTAGCATCAGTTAGTGGGAATTTCTCTTTAGTCGAGTGTCCGGCTAGAGACCGAGTGGTCGCTAGTTCGTATCCCAGGGATGGCAGGGTGTTTGTCATGGCTTCCTCCTATTACAATTGTATATTTACAGTACATTTTACACACATTGTAAGTGAAAGTAGACTACAAGCTGATCACGAGTTCCGGAAAAGCATGAAGCATAAAGGGGTGTAGTGTCCATGATAATCTTATAATTAAGTTCCGGATATTGTCCCGTTTGTAGATCACAACATGAAATCCTACAAGGGGCTTGGCCAAGATTTAGGTTTCTGTGAAGTCCTGTTACATCAGGTACAGGAGCACTGGTGAATATAGTTATAGAGACAGATTTAGCTCTATAGACAAATCTGACTGTGTACAATGTATATAGGGCAAATGTAAACACACAGGTGAAGTCCAGTAACATTTCTCTTGTGCAGATTGATGACGAATCATACAAATCAGTGAACTGTCTGTTTTGACATATTGGCTTATTTAAACAATTATGTGGAATTTTTGTTGCATATTTTCAGTATCCATGAACACTTGCTAACAAACTCTACAGTGATTCCTTTCAATACAGTGTCGTTCACTCCTTTTGTGGTCTGCAGATAAGCATCCCCTTGATTCAAATTTCACTGGTGAGCTTCCAGCATGATGTTACATGGCAAAATATTTATAACCCACAATGAATGTGAATTGTTTGGTGGAAGCAAGTGAAATATGAAGTGTTTTAATAATGAATTAAGCAATTTCATGTCTCACCATTGGATCATATGAATTAAGGGATGCAAATGCCAAAAATTGTAACCAACTCCTCGGAAACAGTGTCTAATGACAAAAATCATGTGTTTTACCAACTCATTAGATTCATTGTCTATTTTTTGGACGTGCACACCATGATCACGGCCCGGTATGCCTCAGTTGTTCATGTTTGCCCTATGATGTGTTTAGTCAGTAAGATTTGCCGATGCCCCAGTACCTGACGATGTAGAGGGCTGTTAGCCAACACACATAAGCTGTCAAATGTATTCATTACACCCGAGTATGAAATTTAATGAGATGACTTGTCTTATGGCACATGTGACATTAAAGTGTTACGTTGACTGACCATGTCAAACACGTAAACAGTAATGTACAAGGTAGACACTTCTCACATGATTCTGGGTTTTTTTTTAGCCCACCATCATCAGATGGTGGGGTATTCAAATCGCCCTTTGTCCATGGTCCGTCCGTCCTTTCGTCCGTAAACAATTCTTGTTACCGCTTTTTCTGGGAAAGTACTGGATGGATCTTTCTCAAATTTCATATGCAGTTTCCCCTTGGTACCGTTTTTGGACTGATTTGAATTCAAGATGGCCGACAGGCAGCCATCTTTGATTTTGGAAGTAAAATTTTGTTACCGCTATTTCTGGGAAAGTACTGGATGGATCTTTCTCAAATTTCATATGCAGGTTCCCCTTGGTCCCTAGTTGTGCATTGTACCTTTTTGGAATGATCTGAAATCAAGATAGCTGACAGGCAGCCATCTTGGATTTTGAGAGTAAAATCTTGTTATCGCTATTTCTGAGGAAGTACTGGATGGATACTTCTGATATTTCATAGGTATTGGTTTCCCTTGGTCCCTAGTTGTGCATTGTACTTTTTTTGGACTGATTTGAAATCAAGTTGGCCCACAGGCAGCCATCTTGGATGTCAACAGTAATACAGCACAAGCATATTTTCTTCAATATTCTATCATATTGATTCAAGACCATGTTCATTATCCACCTGTAACTGACTGCTATCTAATAATACTTTGGGATCTTTTTCAAAAGATTTTTGCTTATAGGTGCTTAATAAAAATATCTTGTGCCATCATTGAGTATATTCAATGAAGACCAGTTCATGAACATTTACAAAACCTGTAACAAAAAAAAAAATAAACAAATCTTCAAGAACTGAAAACAGATCCTCAAATGGTGGGCGCCAAGATCCCTCTGGGATGTCTTGTTTAATGATACCCTTGATTGACAGAGAAAAATTCTACTAAAGTAAACACTTTGTATCACTTTTTACACACTTGAGCAAATAAAACTGTTTTGATATTAGCAAATAGTGGAAAATCCACATTAAAGTGTCATGAATCAGAGATCTCCAATTATACCTCAGAGTTCAATATACAGAACTGTAGAACTGTACATACATGTTAATGGTTAAAACAACTGATGACAGATGAATTTCCTGTACTTTTTTAAAATACAAATATCTATCATATGTTTTGACTATTGATATGAATTTTTTACAATAGTATTAACAAACACAAGTTATGATTTTGATATTTAAAAAATGGGTAAAAAAAAGTCAAATACAAGAAAGTTGATACATAATTTTTAGTTTATTTTTAGTTCCCTGAGACAGGGTGAATTTGCTGGTTTATATATATATATACTCAAGGGATAAAGAAATGCAGGGTGTCATTATTTGCAATATTATTTGCAATAACTATATCCACCCACTTGACTGGCCGCCGTACAGTCCTGACCTATCCCCTATTGATCCGGATAGACAGGTTTGACAACACCAGCCTCCCCCTGTTACTCTTTCCCAACTGGGAAGAATAGGCCAACATCCCAATGAGGAGGATAAACTCACTAATGAACTCCATGCCTAGGAGAATTAGGGCTGTGGAGAGAATGAATGGGGGACATACCTGGTATTGACTAGCCAGCTCCCACAATCAGTCCATTTCTATTTCAGAGTTCTCTTTCAATTCTCTTCAGTTAAAATTATTGAACATTATACTCGATGTCTTGCCTAGAATCATCTTCAAAGTTTACCCTGCGTTTCTTTATCCCTTGAGTATATATTTGTCACCATATTTATGGTAGATATTTGTAGGATATTTTTCTGGTGTGTCAGAACACCATTTCCAAATTTTTAATGAGTCTAGGTACAAAGAGATAAAGAAGGTTCTTAAAATTTGAGTGAGTCACAGGGGAAAAGCAACAGTCAAGGACACAAATGCTTGAATCCCAAAAATCATATTTAAGACTGATACTGTTTTTACACAGGTGTGCCAGACCATCAACAAGCTCTGTCAACAGGTGCTGAATCATGGTTTCACGAAGGTTGACAAACAACACACTCATATACAGAAAAGAGTGAAGAGCCAACTTCCACGCAGAGAATCAGAAAGACGGAACCATCCTCTTGCTCGTCATGTAGATATCCTCTCTGCCATAGAGACACGTTTATCTCTGCTGGGAATGACATACACCCGCTATATAGACATGGGGTTGTGCTGCTTCATCCCAGGAAAGGTAGGTCCCTATAACACGAACACCACATAGACACAGATCTCCAGATCTGCTGCTTCAGCCCAGGACTGGTAGGTCCTGATAACACGAACACCACAAAGACATAAGAGCTCTGGATCTGCTACTTCATCCCAGGACTGGTAGGTTTTTATAACACAAACACCACAAATACACAGAGCTCTAGATCTGCTTCTTCATCCCAGGACTGGTAGGTCCTTATAACATGAACACCACAAAGACACAGAGCTCTAGATCTGCTTCTTCATCCCAGGACTGGTAGGTCTTTATAACACCAACACCACAAAGACACAGATCTCCAGATCTGTTACTTCATCCCAGGACTGGTAGGTCTTTATAACATGAACACCACAAAGACACAGAGCTCTAGATCTGCTTCTTCATCCCAGGACTGGTAGGTCTTTATAACACAAACACCACAAAGACACAGATCTCCAGATCTGCTTCTTCATCCCAGGACTGGTAGGTCCTTATAACATGAACACCACAAAGACACAGAGCTCTAGATCTGCTTCTTCATCCCAGGACTGGTAGGTCTTTATAACATGGACACCACAAAGACACAGAGCTCTAGATCTGCTACTTCATCCCAGGACTGGTAGGTCTTTATAACACCAACACCACAAAGACACAGATCTCCAGATCTGTTACTTCATCCCAGGACAGGTAGGTCTTTATAACATGAACACCACAAAGACACAGAGCTCTAGATCTGCTTCTTCATCCCAGGACTGGTAGGTCTTTATAACACAAACACCACAAAGACACAGAGCTCTAGATCTGCTTCTTCATCCCAGGACTGGTAGGTCTTTATAACACAAACACCACAAAGACACAGAGCTCTTGATCTGCTTCTTCATCCCAGGATTGGTAGGTCTTTATAACACAAACACCACAAAGACACAGAGCTCTAGATCTGCTACTTCATCCCAGGACAGGTAGGTCTTTATAACACAAACACCACAAAGACACAGAGCTCTAGATCTGCTTCTTCATCCCAGGACTGGTAGGTCTTTATAACACAAACACCACAAAGACACAGAGCTCTAGATCTGCTTCTTCATCCCAGGACTGGTAGGTCTTTATAACACAAACACCACAAAGACACAGAGCTCTAGATCTGCTTCTTCATCCCAGGACTGGTAGGTCTTTATAACACAAACACCACAAAGACACAGAGCTCTAGATCTGCTTCTTCATCCCAGGACTGGTAGGTCTTTATAACATGAACACCACAAAGACACAGAGCTCTAGATCTGCTTCTTCATCCCAGGACTGGTAGGTCTTTATAACACCAACACCACAAAGACACAGATCTCCAGATCTGTTACTTCATCCCAGGACAGGTAGGTCTTTATAACATGAACACCACAAAGACACAGAGCTCTAGATCTGCTTCTTCATCCCAGGACTGGTAGGTCTTTATAACACAAACACCACAAAGACACAGAGCTCTAGATCTGCTTCTTCATCCCAGGACTGGTAGGTCCTTATAACATGAACACCACAAAGACACAGAGCTCTAGATCTGCTTCTTCATCCCAGGACTGGTAGGTCTTTATAACACCAACACCACAAAGACACAGATCTCCAGATCTGTTACTTCATCCCAGGACAGGTAGGTCTTTATAACACAAACACCACAAAGACACAGAGCTCTAGATCTGCTTCTTCATCCCAGGACTGGTAGGTCCTTATAACACAAACACCACAAAGACACATATCTCCAGATCTGTTATTTCATCCCAGGAGATAAAGGTTCTTATATTGTACAAACACCATATAGACACAGGGTACTTGATCAATGCAAATATGATATGACTGATGAGTTTCTCTTCAAATCAAATAAATTGTTTTCTTTGTTCAATGATGAGCCTCATAATTTATATGTACCTGTAAATAGACTACATGATTATTCTGTAAAAGGGAAGAAGGAGAGAAAATCCATAAAGATCATATGATGATGAACATTAAGTTCCTCCTTGAATCTCTTGTGATACTTGCCGATAAATAGACTATTTTTGTAAAGCTTACTCTGATTTACATACACACTGTGTTACCTCTGTGAACTTTCCATGAAAACATATAAAAGGACAGATCCAGCGCAGCTGCAGCTATCATTGTAGGATCAAATGTTCTTTGCTTCTCACCTTGATACCCAAGGATACACAAGGGATTGATTAGAAGGATTGAGCTTAAATGAAGATGAATCTATCCAACAGACTAGAGGCAGGTTCTTCAATGTTTAATTTGATAGTTGGTCTACTGGTTTGATCCAGGACATTTCCATGAAATTTATCCCCTAAAGCACATTTCAGGTGGGCAGATTTACATTGTTAATTGTGATGTATACATCTAAGAACAAGTACTCTCATATAAACAACTACCCAACGAAACATTGAAGAAGATTGTTATATGTGTAGATTGTGTCACACCTGTAGATTGTCATACCCCTAAATTGTGTAACACCTGTAGACTGTTGTATATGTAGATTGTGTCACACCTGTAGATTGTCATACCCCTAAATTGTGTAACACCTGTAGACTGTTGTATATGTAGATTGTGTCACACCTGTAGATTGTCATACCCATAAATTGTGTCACACCTGTAGATTGTCATACCCATAAATTGTGTAACACCTGTAGACTGTTGTATATGTAGATTGTGTCACACCTGTAGATTGTCATACCCATAAATTGTGTAACACCTGTAGACTGTTGTATATGTAGATTGTGTCACACCTGTAGATTGTCATACCCATAAATTGTGTCACACCTGTAGATTGTCATACCCATAAATTGTGTAACACCTGTAGACTGTTGTATATGTAGATTGTGTCACACCTGTAGATTGTCATACCCATAAATTGTGTCACACCTGTAGATTGTCATACCCATAAATTGTGTAACACCTGTAGACTGTTGTATATGTAGATTGTGTCACACCTGTAGATTGTCATACCCATAAATTGTGTAACACCTGTAGACTGTTGTATATGTAGATTGTGTCACACCTGTAGATTGTCATACCCATAAATTGTGTCACACCTGTAGATTGTCATACCCATAAATTGTGTAACACCTGTAGACTGTTGTATATGTAGATTGTGTCACAACTGTAGACTGTTTGACCATAAATTGTGTCACACCTGTAGGTTGTCATACCCATAAATTGTGTCACACCTGTAGATTGTTGTATGTGTAGATTGTGTCACAACTGTAGACTGTTGTACCTATCTATTGTATCACAACTGTAGACTTGACTGTTGACTGTCACACCTGCAGATTGTTGTACCTGTTGACTGTGTCACACCTGTAGATTGTTGTACCTGTTGACTGTGTCACACCTGTAGATTGATGTACCTGTTGACTGTGTCACACCTGCAGATTGTTGTACCTGTTGACTGTGTCACACCTGCAGATTGATGTACCTGTTGACTGTGTCACACCTGCAGATTGATGTACCTGTTGACTGTGTCACACCTGCAGATTGTTGTACCTGTTGACTGTGTCACACCTGCATATTGATGTACCTGTTGACTGTGTCACACCTGTAGATTGATGTACCTGTTGACTGTGTCACACCTGCAGATTGTTGTACCTGTTGACTGTGTCACACCTGCAGATTGATGTACCTGTTGACTGTGTCACACCTGCAGATTGATGTACCTGTTGACTGTGTCACACCTGTAGATTGTTGTACCTGTTGACTGTGTCACACCTGCAGATTGATGTACCTGTTGACTGTGTCACACCTGCAGATTGATGTACCTGTTGACTGTGTCACACCTGTAGATTGTTGTACCTGTTGACTGTGTCACACCTGCAGATTGATGTACCTCTTGACTGTGTTACACTTGTAGACTGTTGATCTTTGTTATACCTGTAGGTACTTGACGAACTGCTAAGGATTCTAGCAACGCTACAGAGGACAGATCAGCCTCCACGTGCCCATGAGTTTCTCCAAGAGCTTCGTGATATATCTTCAATGGCTATGGAACATTTTGAGGAGAAGATTTCTCCAGCTCTTAAAGCTCGGCTCCCAGCTGTGACACTTCCCTTCCCATTTGGGGATCACTGCTCTGCTAGTCCAGAACCTCAGCATAGCATTGCAGGTAAAGTTACCATGAATCACAACCGTTATAAGCCCCAACATTGTTTGAGGAAAATATGACATTTTCCTCTCTTTATTGAATCAGAGGGCTATGTGATGGCTTAATAGCCTTATCACATAATAAACAAGATATACAGAAAAAATCATATAGAAAACAATATCACATAATAATACAAGATATACAGAGTTATGTCCCTTCGTCATGTATTTCACCAGTGATGAGTAATTATTGGTCACAAACGATAAATTGTTCTTAATGAAGAGGAATGCTATGGGCTGATTTTGCTTTGAGTACTCTGTATAGATAATATTGAATTAAGGTAAGGTAAATTCCATTATTTTGCTATGCCATTCCTTTTCCTTTATTATTTATATAAATGTATAACATATAAATGGTATACATTTCATATTCTAAGGAGAAATATGCCAAGATATTGGAAAACTTCCATAGCACATTGTATTCTGGCAAGTGCATTTTGGTTGATTGTATACAGTCTTTTTATGTGAACATCAAATTATAGTAACACAGTTTTTCTGTGAAATTGTGAAAAGATACCCATACTTAGTTCAGTCATTCACCAGGAGTGGCAAAAGGATCTTTCAGGATACTGTTGGAAAATTGAAATACTAATTTTTTATATAATTTATAAGGTCCATCCACATCTCCAATGATGGCTTTGGCAACCAGTCCAATGCGAGGGAACCCTCTGCGACAAGAAGTCATCCGTCTCCAGATGCAGTGCAAAACGCATACCTCCACCATCACACAGTGCAAGAAAGAACTTGTAGAATGTAAAAATCGTCATATAGAACAGAGCAAACGTATTTCTGAACAAAGCAGGAAGATTCAAACTCAAGCAAAAGTGATATCGGAACAAGTGGAACTAATCAAGGAACACGACAAAAAGATCAGTGATTTAAGCAAGAAAATTCTGGAATATGATCAGAAGTTCTCCGATGTTTATACGGAACTGTCCAAGATGAAGGGTGAGGGAGAGACCTCCACGGCTGCGAGGGACTTCCAGGGAAGTAGCTTTATCATCAGATCAAGTGAGAGCAGCAAAGAGGATCTAGACAAGAACAAGGCGTGTTTAAAGAGACGAGCACTGCGACAAGACTATCCATTCAAGAAGCAAAAGACTTGATTTCACTGTTAGAATGCAGGGTTATTTACAAGTGATGTTAGTAACTATACTAGAACAGACTCTAGCATTGATGCTGCCGATTTTAGTGATGATTTGAAGACAAATTTTTACTTGCCTGGTGTACAGTAAGATAGGAAATGAATGTACAATTTTTATTAGCAGATTGTGAAGTTAAAATAACAGTGTGATTATATATAATGGACATCTCCCACACGTTAAATATCCGTAACATATTTAGGAGGGCATGATAAATGTCATGAAAACTTTAAGGAAGTTAATAGAGTAAGGTTGTACCAGTCCATGGTAAGTGAATTTCAAATATTTTATTGTAACTTAAAACAACTAATATTGTTATCATGTTTTCAAGAGAAAGATATTTGTGCATAAAAAACATTAATGAATTGTTCAATGAATGCGAACAACAATTTATGCACGGCATAGTAGGCTCATACAGAAAAGTTCATTAGTAAAATATACACAGCAATTGTGTCATCACACAACTGCCTAGAATCTCCATATGGAATTTGGTCTGTAATACCTGCAGGTCAAATCTGATGAATCTGAAATCAAGAGTTGTGTCCCTTCCACTGCAGCACAAATCTGATGAATCTGAAATCAAGAGTTGTGTCCCTTTCACTGCAGCACAAATCTGATGAATCTGAAATCAAGAGTTGTGTCCCTTTCACTGCAGCACAGCCTGATGTTTCAGTGTTGTGTATATTTTAATAATTGTGGAAACACTTCTGTTCTAAATGTCAAACTACCGACCAACCATGTTATCATAAATTTGTTACATGTGTATGTTTTCATTTCCAAGTCCGGTTTACTCTGCTGTTACCTGATTCTTCTGGACCAATCACGTTGTTAATTTTGAAGTCCCAGTCATTTTGTGATCAATACTTCTTGCTCGTCAGAACTGATTGTTATTGAATATACTTGTCCACAGATATTTTGGTTAGCTGGTTGCATCATGAAACAAATTTAAAGCACTTTGATATAAAAATCCAGACATCTGCTTTGTTTTGAATGTAAATTGATGATTGAAAAATATGACTTGGTATGAATCTTGTCTTGGTTTAAAATGCTTGAATGTGTGGACAGGAATATGATTCATACCATAGTTAGTGTTTAAAAGATGACTTGAATTTGTCAAAAAGAAGTAGATTAAGTTCAGCTCTTTGATGATTTTTTAATCTCTATTTGTATGTCAATTCAGAATAATAGCTACATGTATAACATATAGGTTAAATCTATGGTTACAGTAATTCAACATAATTGAGGTAATATTCCTATTTTTTACCAATCCAACTTATATACAATGTGAATGTTACCTACATTCATAGTAAAACAGAATTTTCCTTTGAAAAGAAACTGTAAGTTGTCATACAGAAATGTTTTCAAAAGCTTGTCAATTTTTATTAGGGTTTATTTAACCTTTCATCTGCAAAATTAAAGTGCATGTAATAGACAAAATCTGATTATTTTTTGCAGACATCCATTTACACCCTACTTATGAAGGACCTCATGGATCAAACACATTGCACCATTTAATATGGTGATTCTGTTAATTTTCAATGACCTTGAGACATAGGAAACAAAACTATACATACTGCGTTCTGTATTTACTTCTTGTTTTAACAATTCTCTTACTACATCGTCAATATTTTACACGATAAAACATATCTTTTGATTGAATGTTGACTTTATCGGTGTTAGATCGTAGTGTAATTTATTTGTTATAGGAATACTGAAATATTAAAATATTGTATAAATTATCAAGTATTTGTGTTGTGAGCCTTGTGTTTTTACCAATTACATGATGGTATAACTATCACCACATTCTATGTTTTTTTTTTTTCAAGGTGAGAATCATAGATTCCAGAGAAAGGATAGTAAACTATAATGAAGGTTTGGGGTTCTTTTCCGGCTGTATATGTGATAAAGATTTTATACTCAATTCAACAATAAGAATCCATGTTGAAGGTTTATCACAGGAAGTACACACTGTCCAGAAATCTTCATCATACATTTGTGGCTTCCAGAAAACGAGGTTGTGGTAGTGGCATGACAAAACAAGATTAGTGTTTTGGTGTTCATGTATCTTTGTAATATGTAACAACCAATGAAATCAAGTTTATATATGACTAAGCAGTTTCGTGTTGAAGAAATGTTCTTGCTTTGAAATATATTCCACATTTTTACCATAACATTCAACTTAAATAATGGTACCATAACCTCTTTGCATATTCTAAAATGTTCCTTTCTTTGCTGTTTTTCTGAGTGTCACATGTCCATATTTAAATGCCCTTTACAATCAAAGGTCATGTCTACCTTGTACATGTACCATGTAAATGATCCCATTCTTACCAATAAAAGTTCCTGTAACTCTCCTATTCCTCCCGGTAAAAGTACATGTAACTCTTCCATTCCTCCCAGTAAAAGTACATGTAACTCTCCTATTCCTCCCGGTAAAAGTACATGTAACTCTTCCATTCCTCCCAGTAAAAGTTCTTGTAACTCTCCCATTCCTCCGAGTAAAAGCACATGTAACTTTACCTTTTCTCCCCATAAAAGCACATGTAACTTTACCATTCCTCCCAGTAAAAGCACATGTGACTTTACCATTCCTCCCCACAAAAGCACATGTAACTTTACCATTCCTCCCCATAAAGCACATGTAACTTTACCATTCCTCCCAGTAAAAGCACATGTGACTTTACCATTCCTCCCCACAAAAGCACATGTAACTTTACCATTCCTCCCCATAAAGCACATGTAACTTTACCATTCCTCCCAGTAAAAGCACATGTGACTTTACCATTCCTCCCCACAAAAGCACATGTAACTTTACCATTCCTCCCCATAAAGCACATGTAACTTTACCATTCCTCCCAGTAAAAGCACATGTGACTTTACCATTCCTCCCCACAAAAGCACATGTAACTTTACCATTCCTCCCCATAAAGCACATGTAACTTTACCATTCCTCCCAGTAAAAGTTCCTGTAACTCTCCCATTTCTCCCCATAAAAGCACATGTAACTTTACCATTCCTCCCAGTAAAAGTTCCTGTAACTCTCCCATTCCTCCCGGTAAAAGTACATGTAACTCTTCCATTCCTCCCAGTAAAAGCACCTGTAACTTTACCATTCCTCCCAGTAAAAGTTCCTGTAACTCTCCCATTCCTCCCAGTAAAAGTACATGTAACTCTCCCATTCCTCCCAGTAAAAGTACATGTAACTCTCCCATTCCTCCCAGTAAAAGTTCCTGTAACTCTCCCATTTCTCCCCATAAAAGCACCTGTAACTTTACCATTCCTCCCAGTAAAAGTACATGTAACTCTCCCATTCCTCCCCGTAAAAGCACATGTAACTTTACCATTCCTCCCAGTAAAAGTACATGTAACTCTCCCATTCCTCCCAGTAAAAGCACATGTAACTCTCCCATTCCTCCCAGTAAAAGTACATGTAACTCTCCCATTCCTCCCAGTAAAAGTACATGTAACTTTACCATTCCTCCCAGTAAAAGTACATGTAACTCTCCCATTCCTCCCAGTAAAAGTACATGTAACTCTCCCATTCCTCCCAGTAAAAGTACATGTAACTCTCCCATTCCTCCCAGTAAAAGTACATGTAACTCTCCCATTCCTCCCAGTAAAAGTACATGTAACTTTACCATTCCTCCCAGTAAAAGTACATGTAACTCTCCCATTCCTCCCAGTAAAAGCACATGTAACTCTCCCATTCCTCCCAGTAAAAGTACATGTAACTCTCCCATTCCTCCCCGTAAAAGCACATGTAACTTTACCATTCCTCCCAGTAAAAGTACCTGTAACTCCCCCATTCCTCCCAGTAAAAGTTCCTGTAACTCTCCCATTCTTCCCATTAAAAGCACATGCAACTCTCCCACTCCTCCCAGTAAAAGCACAACCTCTCCTATTTACCATTCCTCCAAGTAAAATGTCATCATACATGAAGAACTCATCTAATGAGAGACAGAGAAAGAGTCGGTGAAGATATACAAGAGAAACAAAAGTTTGGTAGGATTTCTTTATTCTAAGACATTATTCAGTAAGTATTGATGGCATGGAGAAGCTTGTACACTTTTGCAAATCATATCAAGTATGCCTTATGTGTTGGTCCCACCCTGCCCACAACCATGCTGGGCTGATCCCAAACAATGAACGGATCATCCCACATGTCAAGTGTGGGTACGATGGGAGCAAAACAGATCAACAACAAATACATCTCAACTGGATTCTCAATAGCATTTGTAATGTCCTCCATCATGGTAGTCAAGTTAAACATACATATATATATATAGTTTTCAACCACAAGATTTGTCTCCAATAACAACAGTATCGATGATAAAAAACATTTCCATTACTGGCAATGTTCAAATGAGATTCAGTAATGCTTCACATGATCCTACTTGTTTGATTCTGTCCCATGGAATAAAAAAAGCTTGAAGAAATATCTAATATTTTCATTTAGTGTTAATATCAAATTTATCACTATATAAACCACTTGTACACAAAGCTCATATAATGTGTCCAATTGAAGAAATAACGAGGTGAGTGGTGTAAAGGCTGTACCACACATTCCCAGTAATATTGCCTGACAACCCTGGTACAACTAGAAAGACTGTAATTAAACGCTGACCTAATCAATAATATCACATAACACTCTCCATCCAGACCTGACAGACTCGGAGGAGTCTCTAATGATCAGGTGGGCGTCAATATCTTGCTGACCAATGGTGAAAAGCTTCATTCGGCCACTCTCACCGCAGAGCTACATTAGAGAAATTTTGACAGGATTCTAATCATCTTAGAAAACTTCAGAACTTTATTTTATAATCAGCAAAATCCACACATACTTCTTTCAAATACTGGATAACAGATAGTTAATTAAAAAATCATAGAAAACAAAATAAAACTTTAATAACAAGGAATGCCTGGATTAATATCCAAGACAACAAATCAATACAGAACAAATAAATCCAATAGTCACATAACAGGGCGAGTAGAGCAGATTTTTATCTTTTTCCATTGAAAACAATGAAATGACACAAGTTTCTTTTGCCAAGTTTATTTTGCTTCTACTTCTAGCAAAATATGGATTAATACCTTGAACAGGTTTAAAAACCTGAATAAGGAATCATGGCCAAAATCCAGGTTAATGTCACCTTCCAGATCCTCTAAACCACACAATTCCTACTTCAAATCTGATATTGTTTTATGAAATGATGTTTTTTCATGCTGAAACATGGAGTAAGTTATCATGGAAAAAGAATTAAGAAGAGAGCACTTTAACATCACAAATGAAGTGACCAACTGTTTCTAAACATAGTAACAGATAAAAGTTCTACATATCATACGGTATATAGATCTCTGCTTACTTATCAGTCCTGACAAGTTTTACTATAACCTATACTCATATTGCACCATCATTTTCTACAAAAGGATTGCATACCCATATAAACCTACTTCATTAGTCTAAAGTACATGTACACTATACCTTTGATTTTCCAGAGAATTTGAAAAAAAAATTATGTCTGGACATATTAATGCAGAACATATTTTAAAGACTATGTTATAATTATGCCATTTTAATGTACATGTACAGCAGAATCTAGTAAAAATTCTGTACTGATAACTCCCTAGGTTATCAGGCTTTGTTTTGTTATCCAAATATCTTATATTTCAGATACAAGGGGCCAACAGGGTCTGAACTGCTCACATAGCTTTTCACAAATACATTAATATTTCACACCATTGACAACCAAAGTCCTGCTTCATAAACAAGAAATTGTTTAAAGGATTTCATCTATTTGACCCCTACCTTTAATACTGTCCAGGTAATTTTTCACAAACTTTGTCAGACTTCAAATACCTACCAGCCAAATATAATGATTCTAGAATACTTAGTTGATCAGAAGGACTTTTTTTAATGTTTCAACTTATTTGACCTGTGACCTTGAATATAACTCAAGGTCATTTTTTTCACAAACTTTGTTAGACGTTATTGCAGGGGTCTACCAGTCAAATATCATGATTCTAGACTTTTTGGTTCATCAGAAGAAGTTGTGAAGGTTTTAACCTATTTGATACAAAATTTGTTTGGCTTTATCCAAGAAAACTTCCAGTCAAATATCATGAGTCATGGCCTTTGCTTATTTAGAAGATGTAGTTTAAAGGGAAAAGTTGACGCAGGACAGATGGATGCTCCACCATGGCAAAAGCTCACTTTGCCTTTTAGGCCCTTTTTATATATTATTTTGTATATACAACAATACAATGTCTTCACCCTCAAGCATGAAGTAAGAAAATTTTCTATAAGCATTACAGCACTAAGTGGATATTAACAGGTGTATACTTTATTGCCTGATGGATGAAACCCTATACTGAATGTAGGGTATTGTGGTATTGCACAGACAGGTTCTTTGAGGAAAGATAGCTAAAGCAGATGTGATTGTCATGTTTTATTATGCAAGAAGGATCAATGTAAACACCAGTAACAGTACATAAATAAAGGTTCAGATGTTTGGGACAAAGATAGAGGATTTAAAACAACCTCGTCCTCTCTGTTTGCTGTTTACAATATGTCAAAGAAAAACAAAAACTGAAACTTACATAACAGTATCACTACGACATTTTAAGATGTACAGGAAGCACTTTGGAAACTACTCCAGAATTGATGCATTAGTTCTTGACAGATAAAACCAAAACTCACACTGACTA